GATGACCTAAGTCGTGGCATCGCAGTAAGTGAGATGAATGGACGCTGGATGAACGGTCCATCATTCTTTAGAGAGAAACCAGAAGATTGGCCTACTGAGACCAATCAAGCAACGCTAGAAGTTCCTGAATTTAAAGTCGGTAAACCCATCTGCGCGTTGCAACCCGTACAAAGTACCATTATTGATCCAGCTCGGTTCTCGAATTGGCAAAGACTGTGCAGAGTAACAGCTTATTGTGTTAGATTTATCAACAACGCAAAGTCTTCACATCGTGTAAGCGGCCCACTTCTTCCAGAAGAAGTAGCATCAGCTGAGCGTTATTGGGTTATGTCGGCCCAAACTGAGTTGGGAGTTTGGAAAGATCGTTACAAAGACCTAGCCCCATTCCTACAAGACAAGATCGTTCGAGTCGGAGGAAGACTTAATCATTCACCCTTATCCTACGACGAGAACCACCCGATATTATTGCCATCAGATCACGTTATTTCGAGATTGGTCGTCAAAGACGCGCACAACCGTGTAATTCATGCAGGTCGCGAGAGAACCCTATGTGAAACTCGAAGAAAGTTTTGGTTAGCTCGAGGTAGAAACGTGGTGAAGAAGATCGTGAGAGAGTGCGTCACCTGTCGCAGACTTCGACAGTACCCATACACCACACTGATGGCAGATCTACCACCAGAGAGGTTGAAGCCTTTCTCACCACCGTTTTCAGTTACTGGCGTCGACCTGTTTGGTCCGTTTTATCTAAAGTATGGTCGAAACTCGAAAGTCAAGAGTTGGGGAGCTCTCTTTACGTGCGCTACAGTCCGCGCCATACATTTAGAGATCGTGCAAGATTTGTCAACCGAAGCTTTTCTCCATGCTCTGCGACGGTTTGCGGCCCACCATGGATGGCCCAACACTGTTATCTCGGACAACGGAACGTCATTCGTGGGAACTGAACGAGAGTTGAAGAAATTACTGCAAGAAGGAAAACAAGAAATCGAAGACTTCGCTGTAGTTTACAAAGTCAAGTGGCGATTCAATACACCGCTGAGTCCCCATCAAGGAGGATTCTTCGAAAGCCTTATCAAACTGGCGAAGAAAGCATTACGAGTGATAGTCGGACAACAAGTGTTATCGTGGAACGAGATGTCAACCGTTTTCGCCGAAGTTGAGAGTCTCGTAAACAGCCGCGCCCTTGGATATTCCTCCAACGACCCAAACGATCTTCGTCCTTTAACCCCGAACCACCTTATCCTTGGCCGTGCGTCAGCCGACGTCCCGCAAGGTCCGTTTCGAGAAGCAAGAAATTGTCGAAAGAGATTCGAATACATCCAGACGTTAGTACAACAGTTCTGGAAACGGTTCCAGCGCGAGTATTTCCAGACGCTGATGCGGAGCACGAAGTGGACGAGCAAAGAACGACAACTCAAGGTTGATGACATAGTTTGGATGGTCGAGTCAGGTGTCGCGAGAGGAAAGTGGAATCTAGCGAGAGTGATTGAAGTTTATCCTGGTCCAGACGGTGTTATAAGAAACGTGAAGCTGAGAACAAAGACAGGAGAGTATGAACGATCCGTGCAGAAGTGTTGTTCAATACTGGAAGAAGGTTCTTCCTAATCGTGGCCGGAGAGTGTTTCGGACAGTCTGCATGAACATTAAACTCTTTAACTTTATACTTTAGTAATTTTACCTTGATTTAATATGATTATAACTTGATTCAGTATTTTAGGTGTTGACAGATAGTAATTATTTAATGACGTAGATAGCTAAAAAGACATTGGACAAAAAAGAGTTTTATTGAGAGTACTGCGAGTGAACAGTAAACAGAGAGATTAACAGCCGTAGAGATCCACTCTTCAGGTACAGTGTATTGTGATTAATCATTTGTATTAAGCCATTAGGATAGCTATGAATTTCTCAATCATGCATGTAATATTTTGAACTGTAATCTAATCAGAATCGAATTATTTACTGTAGAATTTTTATATATATATTACGAAAAATCTCTATGGTCTGTGCGTGGTTCAATCCTTGGTAACATATATATATATATATATATATATATATATATATATATATATATATATATATATATATATATATATATATATATATATATATATATATATATTGGTATGCATGCAATAACTCTAATATACGGAGAGGATATACCAGTCGGATGTGTAGGGGTAGATGTAGGCGTAGTTGTAGATGTAGGGTTAAGGTTTCCCAATTATTAGAGTTGCTGTTGACGACAAGATATTTGTTGCTGTTGAAGACAAAATATTTGTTGCTGTTGAAGACAAGATATTTGTTGGTGTTGAAGACAAGATATTTGTTGCAGTTGAAGACAAGACAGTTGTTGCTGTTGAAGACAAGATTGTTGTTGCTGTTGAAGACAAGACATTTGTTGCTGTTGAAGACAAGATTGTTGTTGGTGTTGCCGAAGACAAGATATTTGTTGCTGTTGAAGACAAGATTGTTGTTGGTGTTGAAGACAAGATATTTGTTGGTGTTGATGACAAAATATTTGGTGCTGTTGAAGAGAAGATATTTGTTGCTGTTGAAGACAAGACATTTGTTGCTGTTGAAGTCATGACATTTGTTGGTGTTGCCAAAGACAAGATAGTTGTTGCTGTTGAAGACAAGATATTTGTTGCTGTTGAAGACAAGATTGTTGTTGCTGTTGAAGACAAAACATTTGTGGCTGTGGAAGACAAGATATTTGTTGCTGTTGGAGACAGGATACTTGTTGGTGTTGTAGTCAGGATATTTGTGGTTGTAGACAGGATATTTGTTGATGTTGAAGGGTTAGATGGTTTGATTGGTGTGGTCGAAGGTGGAAAAGTAGGTGGAGTATTGGTTGTCTTGATCTTGCTTTGTGGTAACTCTACAGAAGGAATCAGATACCAAGGTTAAATTACAGTCAGGAACAGTTATAATACATGTGTATTCATTCTTTTCAACATCTTGACAAGCTCTAGCTACATAGATGCTGAAATTAAGAATAACTAGATCATAGAATTTTACTCATCACATACCAACCTTACAATCCTACCAGACTATTAGCTATAACGTTCACATTAACATCACGTCTAGTATTACACAACAACAAATTCAGTCAAGCTTCAAATAAGAAGCAGACAAAAATATCATGTCATTACTCGAACGAGATTGCATAAAACCTCTCGCTGAGTACTGAGTTTTCGGTGGCGCAGTTGGTTAGCGCGCTTATCTATAGAAACTAAGAGGTCGCGGGTTCGATCCCCGCTCGAGGCATAGGTCTGCATTATTATATATATATATATATATATATATATATATATATATATATATATATATATATATATATATATATATATATATATATATATATATATATAATATATATAATTTAATAATTTATAAAGCGCTTTTTACATATAATGATCAAAAGCGCTGTATTACAATATAACTAATGTTAAAAAATGTTGAAATGTTAACTTTAATATAAACTAAATAATATAGTCACTATATATAATCACGTAATATAGGTGTAATATGATCGTATATATTTTCGTGTTGAAGTCACTAATTTTGCAGCGGCGTTCTGAACCCTCTACAACTTAATCAATTCAGTATTAGGTAAACCATACAGGAGACCATTACAATAATCTAGTCGACTTGTAACAAAGGCATGTATAACAGTAAACAGATTTTCCCGAGATAAAAACTTGCTGATGCGTTTGATGTTGTGAAGCCAATAGAATGCGGCACCACATGTCTTTGTTATATGACATGACATTGATAAATTTGAAACAAGCCAAACTCCTAGATCACGAGCTATTGGTACAGGAAGGACATCTGCATTCCCGACACGTACATGGCATGGGTTAAGTTTCTGCAGTTGTTGCTTAGATCCAATTATTAGCAGTTCAGTTTTACCGTCATTTAGTTTCAATTTATCTTGAATCATCCATTTTCGAAGATCGTTGACACAGCTTTCCATTACCGAGATCGCTTCACTTGATCGCATGGGTAGTCAGGTTTGAATGACACATACAACTGAGTGTCATCAGCAAAACCATGTGAATCTAGCGAGTGATTAGAGAGTTTTAGATTGACGTTTACGGCAAACGTCAAACCGCTAACGAAGTTGTTGGTTTTACAACTGTATTTTTGTAGTTTTGAAATATATTAAACAATTATTAAACTTGTGTTCTTTAGCAATGATTTAAGAAATCAAATCAACCACTAGTCACGTATTCACCAAAGCTGTATATTAAGATCTGGCGTTTGAAGTTGATGGTTGGCGTATGAATTTTATGCTTGAACTGCTACGAGTGCTTGTAGTCGTTAAAGCATGAAATTTATACGCCAATCGTAAACTTCAAACGCCAGATCTTAATTTACTGCTTTGGTGAATACATGACTAGTGGTTAATTTGTTTTCTTGAATCATTGTTAAATACCACAAGTTTAATACTTGTTTAACATATTTCAAAACTGGTGTTACAGCTGTTATAATAGAGTTGTAAAATCAAAAACTTCTTTAGCGGTTTGACGTTTGCCGTAAACGTCAATCTAAAACTCTCTATTGTTAATAATATCGAACAGTTTGGAGGCATATAATATAAAAAGAAGAGGCCCCAAACACGAACCCTGCGGGACACCAAAGTTCAAATCAGATGAATCAGAAAGGGTACCATTTAGCATAACACGTTGACTTCGACCAGACAAATAGGAAGAAGACCAACTGAGAACTTTTCCATATATTCCAAATTTTGACCTTAACCGTTCCAGCAAAATTCCATGATCAATTGTGTCAAAAGCGGAACTTAGGTCTAAAAGAACCAAGAGAGTGACACGTTGACTGTTCATGCTTAACAAAATATCATTGAGTACTTTGAGTAACGCAGTCTCTGTGGAGTGATACCGCCGGTAAGTAGATTGCAAAACTGGATAAAAGCCACATCGAAGAATATGATCGTGCGTTTGATTATATACTGCTCGTTCAATAAGCTTAGAAATATACGCTAAATTACTGATGGGACGAAGATTTTCAAAAGAGGACTCCAACCAAGACTTTTTTAATATGGGAAGAATGATAGCTTCCTTCCAGTCTCTAGGAAAATATCCAGTTTCAAGTGAGATATTGATTATTTTTGTAATCACAGGAAGTGACACATCCAGACATTTCACCAAGAAATCTGTTGGCACTGGATCAAGGTAACAGGATTTTTTATGTGAGTCCCACGTCCACAACAAGCTTTCTAACATCATCCTCAGACAAGGGCTCAAATGCATCAAAATGCGATACATCACCCGGATACTCCTCGTTGTCATTACTTGGAGGATCTACGTGACCATCATTCTGTGAGGAAATCTCGTTGTTTATCTTAGAGTGGATATTAGAGATTTTCTGAACAAAATATTTGCCAAGTTCGTTAACGAGAGCTGTTTCATCAGGTCCGGGGAAATTTATTGCATTTTTTTCAACTAGCATTCCTTTGATAGCTTTGAATAGAGTCCCTTGGTTATTGCTGTTTTCTTTGACAAAGTCAGAGAAAAAGGAGCATTTTGCTTTCCTCATTAATTGAGTACAATGGTTTTTCAATTATTTAAATTTATTAAAATCTGCCGTCTTTTTTGTAGTCCGCCATTTCCACTGCGCTTTCTTTCTTTCTTTCCTTCTTTGCAAGTTTGATTTCCTCATCATACCATGGCACCATAGCCCTAGAGGTAACAATTCTCTTCTTCAGCTGAGCGTGGCGATCCAGAACAGTAGATAACGTATTATTATAGCAGCTTACCAAGGAATCAAGTTGTGTAGGGACATCCAGGCATAGTTTTGATTCACCCAGGTCTTTCATAAAACTAGTAATATTTATAGATTTCAATTAAGTTACACATTTTTTTGAAGGAAGTGGTTTGGAAGAATTAAGCCCAAATGAGATCGCCATGTGATCAGAGAAAAGGTGGTCCGGACGAGGGAGTGATCCCAAAATAGAGTCCACCTCTCGAGTAATTACCAGGTCAAGAGTGTTTCCAGAAACATGTGTAGAAAATTCGACATGTTGCTGTAAACCCAAGGACAATAGCAGATCGACAAACGTCAGACTATGACCATCTGTTTTTGAATTCACATGAATATTGAAATCACCGGTGATAATAAGTGGATCCGTCGACATTATAATAGTCTCCAAGTACTGCGAAAATTCAACAATAAATGCATTCACGGTTACCGGGTGATTTGTAGAATATGGTGGTCTATAAATGACGACAAAATGTACACGAAAGGATCCAGAAACGATCTTCCACTCAGAGTATTCAAAGGAATTTAAGACATCAGCTGCAAGCTTGGTTGTACACAGAGTATCACGAAAAACTATCGCTGTTCCTCCTCCAGTCCTGTCAGGGCGTGGATGATATGGATATATATTTATCGTGGATATATATTTGCAGACATCGTCTCTACCGTCTATATTCAATAGATTTGAAGATTTGTAATCCAGGCACTGGTCGGTTGTTATATGCAGTTTGCTCCCGGAGTCAAATTGCGAGTGTTGTTAGTTTCCGGTCTCCTAGCTGTGATTTATGGCGCTGTTAAAATACCGCGTTTTTAGCGCTCTTGTTTGCGTTTATTTTAAAACATTTTTAAAACAATACTTGCCCAATTAGTACTTCCTTGAACCGTTTAAAGATATTACAGCGCAAACTAGTCACAGGACAAGTGCAAAGTGGTAAATTATGGCGTTATTATGGGCATGTATTTTCGCATTCCGGTCGAAGGATATCCCGCCCACACGGACAAATTCTACCATCTAAGGGTCCCACATCGGGGTAGGTATTTTTCGAATTAAGCCCTTCAAGTTAAGCCCTCCGAGTTAAGCCCGTTTCGAGTTAAGCCCTTGTCACACCCTTTTTCACCGGGGGCTTAGTCAATTATCGATTTAAGCATTCGAGTTAAGCCCCGACATTTGGTGGATGTTTACAACTGACGCTTGTATGCTCGCCAAAATATTCGATAAGATATGTAAGGAGGGAGAATGTAAAATTTCAGCAATTTTAAGAAATATGTTTTACTTAGATCTCTGTTGCCTTGCCTACAGTTTTATATAGACAATGACATCGTGAAACGAGAGAGTTCAATAAGGATTTGTAAACAACAGCTCATTCAGGGCGGCAATTACGGCTTTAAAAACTAAATATTATATAGCGGCACTTGCAGAACGCAAATCTTAGGCATGTTCATATGGAGGCAAGCTACCTTAACGAAGATATATCTCTTCTCCGAAGTAGGGGACATGAATACTACAGCGTGACATCATACTGAATTGTTTTGTTAGAAAATGGTTTTACTAGCTAGAACTTCATTCTTGATCATTCTGACTTCTGAGAATATCCAAATAGTACATAATCGTGATATTTTAGTTTCGTTTACCGTTGTTGTGATTCGGTTATTATTTGCCGTTGGTCGGTTGGTAATTTAGTGGAAATATTTTTATCTGTTACCACTTGTAATAGTTTGAATTTCTTCCTGTCTGTTCTCTCTCTGACGGGTTCTTGGCAAGATGATTTTTTCGCTTGTGTTATGTAAATAGTCACCGGCCAACTATAAAACGAATTTACATAATATTCTAGTCCTAGATCTTGTCGTTGCCGAGCAAATTGGTTAGAAAGGTAGCTCACCTCCATATGAACATGCCTAAGATTTGCGTTCTGCAAGTGCCGCTATATATTATTAAAGTTTTAATAAGTATTATTAGTTTTTAAAGCCGTAATTGCAGCTTTGAATGAGCTGTTGTTTACAAATCCTTATTGAACTCTCTCGTTTCACGATGTCATTGTCTGTATAAAACTGTAATGCACTAAACGCATTATTCACTAATATGACACTATCAAATAAATATAAGTAGCAAATGATTAATGAACAAGACGCCGACTCGGCGTTAACCTCGGGTCGGTGGATAGGGGATCGTCTGGTAAATATCCAAAAATTGTGTAAATCACGATAGTTTAATAGTTCACTAGTATAAATGGTGAATCAGTTAATCAAAGCTCCGTTTTAATATTTTATTGATAATAATTACTGGCCCTCATCAAACCTATTGTTTTCTCTCTGCATTATATCAGTGAATGTCGAGAAGTTTTCATTTAACGTTCTACTGAAAAACGGGAGCGGCCTTTTTGGTTGTATAGGGAAATTCCGGCTCAGGGGTAAATGTTTATACGCGTCATATTCTATGTACGCGTTAAAATAGCACACAACATTATTAAAAATAATGCAGCGTGCATCAG